ACTGCTCGGAAAAAAACTCTGCCAAATTTTATTGAGATCGGTTCAGATTTCATATAGCTTCGATCTGATTTTACGGTTATCACTCACCATTTTCTATGTAGTATCAGCCCAAATTGAATAGATTTCTTTTATATTCCAACGAATTTTACCAATTGGTAAAACCCGCTCCGGTATATCTATTGTTCTCTCATTGTACGTGAGAGAAAAAATTCTCTCAGTATAAGTTAATAAGCAATGAGCCAATAAATTGTTAAATGAAGTACCATAACGACATATTGCTCCCGCATTTTACATCATCTTGTAATACTCAAAAAAATCCAAAATACTCATAACTTTTGTCTGTATTCATGCCAATATTCCCACAATTTTATTTGACCCAAATGTCATTTACGTGTTGAATTGTTTAGACTTTTTTGTGTCTGGTCATAAGTATGTTAACATATTGTAATCAAAACTATTTCAGAAACCACCCAAAACCCCATTCAAAAAAAAAATTGTTTATTTTCAAAACAATTCAAACATCCGCTGTATATCCCCCACAATTAAAACCTCCCAAAAAAACAATGAAATCAAAATTGGGAAGGGTAATTAACAACAGAGATTCCTAAACAAAATACTATCAAAACGCGGAAGCAAACACTTGCATTCAAAAATGAAAAAAAAAGGGCGGAGCGAGAAGACACATTTGAAATTTTCTAAATTACCACTTCACTGTCATAATAACACTGGGCAACAGCAACCAAAATAAACAACTGTATCTATCATCCCAAAAATAAAACAAAAACATTGTCTGATGAATCACAACAAAGCATAACAGACAATCTTCTATGATCCCCACTATTTTTTGTGTGGCATGAATGATGGCTCTTCCAATGCAGTTGCTATCTAGAATACTCCAAAATGCATGACTTGATTTTTTTTTCACCCAAATCAAAAGTTGAAATCTTAATATTGAATTATGCCTGACAGCTTCCATGGCATCGTGATACTCTATTGTGGGGTGTTGATTTTAACAAATCTCAACAAAAAAAATCCAACAACAGTTGTTTAATTAAATCTCTTGGCCCTTGAAAAAAAACGAAATAAAATAATGATTTGAAAACGTCAACGGAGGCAGCGAAACTCAAAAATGTCTGACATATGTAAGTGTGTACATCTGCAAAAAGCAGAAGAGTATCAGCTAAATAAACGAATCTATCACACAGACAAATAGAAAAATTTGGAAGAATTGGAAAACAAGTTCAATGAAAACATTTCATCGATTTTGCCAAAGAACATATTTATTTGGCAATTCATAATTAAAAAAAAAATATAAAACCATAGCTAGTAACTAGTTACCACTAATTTCAGCAAATCTGTCGGGTTTAACAGGATTGATTTTGTTCAACAGCCTTTATGAGGCAACAATTTACAAACGCCTACAACGCCACAGTTTATATTCCCACTAACGAACATCGAAAAGGATATCTTGACAACAAGTCCAAGAAATACATAACCAAATATCCACAAGTTAACCTCTGATAGTCCTTGTTTAATGTTATAAAGAAACAATATATGTTTTACTCACAGGGATCTTTAAAAAAAATTTTAAGTTCTATCTCGTCTTAACAACAATCAAACCACTGTCTCAACTTTTTCTCATTCAATGGAGCAAAAAACTAACACACCAAACATTGCGGTGCAGTTTTTTTCTCCTTCCTTTTATTGCTATCATAAACTAAAGTATTTGTCAGAAAATATTTGCGAGGGAGAAAAAGTAGGTATCACGAAAGCTCTCAAAATGTATACAGGTAGGGTACACAAGGTACTAAAAAGACCCATTCGCGTTTACGTTTTCACTAAATTTTTATACCTTCCACCATACTATGGTGGATTATTGCTATCATAAACAAAAGTATTTGTCAGAAAATAGTTCCGAGGTAGAAAAAGTAGGTATCACGAAAGCTCTCAATATTTATACAAGTAGGGTACACAAGGCACGAAAAACACCCATTCGCGTTGCCATTTTCACTAAATTGTTATACCCTCCACCATACTATGTATCTACTCGAAATACTCATGTCAGACCAAGCCAAAGTGTATACAGGGTGAGATAAAAAATCTGCAACCATCTTCAGACTGCTGTCATTTCTAAGCCACTCGTCCGACAGCTGTTAAAATCATTCCAGTGGCAGCTCATTATATTGTTTACAAGCGTACATTAGCCTTTTGGTGAGAATTTTCCATCTGAGATGAATATATCGCAATATTCCATTCGGCAAATATGGAAAAATGAGCTCGGGGTAAAGCCATTGAAATTCCCAAAAATTGAAAGAACTTACACCGCAACAGAAAGAAAATAGAATCAAAAGAGCTAAAGAGTTGCTTCGCTTGGCCGAAAGTGGTGAACTGCCGAATTTGGTTTTCTCCGATGAGAAAACATTCGTTGTCCAGCAGTTTGTAAACAAACAAAATGATCGTGTTTACTTGCCAAAGAGGTCAGCTTAAACTGTGTACCTTCGGTTGGCCACCAGAACTCAAGCGCCGGCCATGGTGATGGTGTGGGCCGCCATAACAGCCGATGGTCGCTCTCCGCTCGTATTAATCGACCGTGGCATCAGAATAAATGTCAAATATTGTAGCGAAAATATTCTGGAGGGCGTATTAAAGCCTTGGGCACGCAAACATTTGGCCACAGACCTTGGACATTCCAACAGGATTCAGCACGCGCCACCCAAGAACGGTTACCAAATGAGCGGGAATGTCCACAAAATCTCCGGATACCAATTCGTTGGACTATTGTGTCTGGAGTATTTTGGAAAGCAAAATTGGCACTAAAAATAGCAAAGTATCGATCACCTCAAGCAAGCGCTTCGCCGGGAATGGGTCAAAATGCCGCAGAGCAACATTCGGGCAGCGTGTCACGGTTTCATTGGCCGTTTGAAGGCCATAATTCGAGCCAAAAGTGACCCATTCGAACATTATTCTTAAATTTGATGCTATTACCGAAATTTTTTGCTTTCATTCAACAAAATGTAAAATTTTTTGGCGCTTGACTTTGTTGCAGTTTTTTATCTCACCCTGTATATTCTTGATCAACGTAAAATTTTATGTCTTTGTGGCGATGTCCATCTTTCTGTCTGTTGTAATTACTCTTATCTTTCGAACGAATTGTGATAGAAGACTAAAAGTTTGCACACATATTTATTTTGTTAGTAGGCAGGTTATGGGTGGTAAATGGGCCATGTGGGTCCAAGTTTTCATATAGCCACCATATAACTGTACCTCCCAATATTGGGTATTTTGATGATTATAGCCATATTTTTTACCGGAATTATTTCAAATTTCGTATTTGAAGTTCGTAATAGATACTAGTGCCGATGACAAAAATTCGCGTAAGCAGGTCCACATCTTCGTATAGCCCCTAAATAACGATACCTCCCGATATTCGGTATTTTGATGATTTCAGTCACATTATTGACCCGAATTGTTTCAAATTTCGTAGTTGAAGTTCATAATGGGTACTACAACATGTGACAAAAAAGTGTATGTACAGGTTCACAGGTCTTCATATAGCCCCCCTATATAACTGTATCTCCCAATATTCGGTATTTTGATGATTTTAGCGACATTTTTACCGGAATTGTTTCAAATTTTGTATGCGAAGTTCGTAATGAGTACTACAGCCTCCACATCTCCGTATAGCCCCCATATAAAGGTTATCAATTGAGAAATATTTTTCTACGGATTTTTTTTTTTTTCAATTTTCAATTTTCTTCAAAATTGTGGAGGGTAATAAAATTTCGGCCTAGCCGAACCTAACGCTTTTTACTCGTTTTTCCTCAATTATTCATGATTGCAGGAATTGTCTCTCCAGGAAAATACTATCCGTGGGAATAAAATTTTATCTGGATATTTGAGCTGATTATGAAACATATCGATTTATTAATATTCAGCCGCTCTCGCTATCAACAACAAATGCCTTCAAATTCACACAATAATTTCAAAAACATACTCATCATATTATTAAAAAAATGATTTTTCATAAGATTGTCATATCAAATTTTCACTATTTCCTCATATACTTTTTTTATCTATCGCATTCAAATTTAGTCTATAGTTTTAATTTTTCAAAATTATTTACATTAAAGTTTAACCAGACAAATTGATGTGTGACCAGAGTGCTTAAATTGTAAAGCTAATGCATTTAAAATCGTAGTGTTGCCAACTATAACACAACTTACATACGACAGTTTTTCTTATTTTACGAAGTTTACTCGATTTCAAATGCCACTTCATTCCGTGGCATATACGATTTACGTTGCGTTTACGCTTTGGAATTGACATTTGAAATTGGCATTGGATTTCGTCAATCCAAACGTTTTTACATACTAAAGGCTAAAGACTTTTATATTGGCACCTGTCAAATGCATTAGACTGATAACTTTAAAAAGAACCTGAATTTAATTCACCACTGCACTCTTGCATTCATTTGAATTACATTTCAGAGCTTTATGATAATTTTTGACATTCACACGCTCTATATTTATCATTTCCAAATAAATTCACACATTAAGCCTCTTCTCTATAAATATCTCCTAAATTCTGCTTTCTCTTTCATTATCATTTCTCTTTCTCTCTCACCCTCTCTGGCTTGTTTTTGCTTACAAAAAAGCAATATCATCACACATTATTTTTATAAATATTTTGTAAATAAGTATTTTATTTATTTATTAATATTTTTTAATTAAAAAAAAAACATAATCATTTTATTTTAATTTAACCAGCCTACAAAAACAACAACAACATAAACTAACCTTAAATACATGTTTTTTTCTTCTCGTTTATTCTCTTTTTATGTTACCCAAAATCCCGCCTCCTATTTTATGTTTTGAATATGCGAAATTCTAAAACCAAAAATCTACATTTGTACAAAAAAAAAATCGAAAACTCACCAAAAATCGAATCATAATCTTTCATCATACCCCTCAAAAAAAAAAAAAACATTCAACTAACTTTAGCGATACGACGGCTACTAGCGGCGAACTTAAAAATGCTTTAGCTTCGACTGAAGATGGAAATGGGGATGTGATGGAACAGCAACAACGCAATCGTGCTGCCGATCTAAAGGCATCCAAATCGAAATTCGGTCGCAGCAAGTCGAGTGATCTATTAAAAAAAGAATCTGTTGCCTTACCCTACGATAAGGGAAAGAGCACCTTGACCCGTTTAAATTCCCTCAAACAATGGGGTCGCAATCGTTTCAAGTTTATGCAACGTTCCGCCTCCGGCGATCAGCATAATGCATCCATGTTATCGACCATTAACAGCAGTGGCTGCAGTGGCAGTAATGATTTAAATACATCCGGTTCCACATCGGCAGATAGCCACAACACATCAAGCGAAAAGGCCGAAATATGTTCGGCTTCGGGTAGTGCTAGCGTTTCATCGCACAAGACATCTTCAACCACCAAGATGGGTGAGAAATCATCGGTTACCGATGTGGATGAAGATTGCCGGGTCCATGAATATGTTACACAGCGTGCACACGAAAGTCGGTTTTCGCATGAACGAAAACCCTCGTATTCGTCGTCAGAGAAATCGATGAGTGTCAGTAGTTCGGGTCATTTGAGAGGTAAACTTCACTTAAATTCGGCATGTGCGAATGTGAAGCTGAGAGATACTTCTTCATTGAATCGCCAGCGACGTATCAACGGCCTGGGTGGTGGCAACAACAAGGATGACCAGCCGCATTCGAGTAGTGGCAATTGGAGTGCCAGTTCCGAATCGGGTCGTGCCTCGATTGGCAGTGAAATAACATTGCAACCCAAGTCAAGTGCTTCCAATACTTCGTTGAATGTATCGAGTTTCCAGAATGGCAGCAGTAATCCACCGTCTTCAATGCTGAGTCGTAGACGTTTCTTTAATACATCAGCATCGAGCAGTGTGACAAGTGAGGGAACAGCCACGCCCGATTTGCAAATGGCCAATGAGGGTACATATCCCAATCATTTGGATGATGAAACCAGTTCGGCATATTCATGTGATACCGAAGGTTACTACACCTCCTTCCACATGGATAGTGGTCTGAGAACATTGAAGGAGGAGGAGATAAACATGAGTAATTTCCAAATTGGTGGTCATCCCTTGAATGGCTCCATTTTTGGACAATCTGGACCATCTAGTTTCAACAGCTCACCGCAGACATTAATGGCTGAAAATGAATATGAACTGTTTGGTAGAGGTTCAACATCGACCACAACCAGTTCAGCGGGTACCGTGTGCACCACATTGATGGCCCATAACTCCGGTGCCGAACAGTCTAGCTTGAATAATAGCCTGGCCAGCTGTGGTCCCGAAGTGCCCGAACGTGTTAGCTCTTTACGCTTGAGCAGTGCCTCCACCAGTACCCTGGAAAGAAGTATTTCCAGTAGTACCATAGGAAGTACCTTGGAGCGTACTGGTACCATAAAACGTAATGTTAATGCCTCATTGAAATTGTCCTGCAGTGAAGTTCCCTCATTGGAATCCAATACTGCAACTCCAGAATCCCAAGATGATGAATTTAATTTCAATGAACAAATCAAGAAAAGAGGAGCCCTGTCACTGCCACACAGCAGTGAGGTTGAGGTATCGGAATGCTCCGATCTGGAGGGTGTGGAACGTATTGAAAGGATAAAACAGAAAACTGCCATGACTGCCAGGCGCATACCATCCATGTGTATCATTACGCCATCTACCAGTGATGATGAGAATCATCATCTGGATGAGTTCCAAAGTGAACGCCACCAAGATGTGGAAGATGAGACAAACGAAGATGAGGATGATGTCTTGAATAAAACCCTAACGGAGGAAAGCTTTAAGGATTTGCTGGATGATGACAAGGAAAAGGTGAAACTACAGGAGGTAGACAACAATTTAAATCACGTCAATGAAAATCTATCCCTGTTTGAAAAGCTCAAAGTTATATTGCCACCCTCGGTTAAGAAATCACCCAAGAAAGCTTTCCCCACACCCGAACTTTCGGTCATCAATGACGATGAGCTTTACGATATGGCCGGTGAATACGTTTACATTTCAGCCGATGTTAGCAATAACAATAACAAAAAAGCTCCTGGCCAACCAATGATGCCAAAAGCTTCGGCTGCCAGTTCACTGGGTATTTATTATTCCAACAATGTCTTGAGAATGCCACAGCCAGCCACTGAATACGTTTCCTTGAATGAATTGCCCAAGACAATACAAAAAGCCTATGCTAAGGAATCCCCTTCTGTCCTTGCTGCCAGCAGCTCTTCGAAAACAAGGGCGGAGGGTAGTTCGATGGCAGAGAGTGAAAACAAACAAAGAAGTGCCTTGTGCGCCGACTCGGACAAAGCTACACAACAACCAAACAATTCAATGTCTTCGCCTGGCGGCGCAATGGCCATGTATGCCGAAATAAATGAATTACGTTCAGAAATTGCAGCATCTGCTGCTGCTGCCACAGCCGCAGCCACTGCTACATCGACATCTGCAAATGCTACAACTCTCAGTTATTTGCAAAACACACCACCATCATCTGCTTCCTCATCGCCGCATGTCTCACCCCATAAGGGAGCCAGAGTACGTTTGAATGCACAAGGCAAACCAATTTACGATTCCGATAGTTTGAAACGACGCAAAGGCGCGCACACAACATTCGCACCGGGTCCGTATGTCAAACGGCAACCAGACTACGACGATTCCAACGAGTATAGTGATATTAAACGCGGCGGCGAAGAAGAAAACGAAAGTGTCGATACCACAATACGCAATACGAGTACGTCCAGTTTGCATAGTTCCACATCGACGCCAGTGAAAAGTGAAAGTGTTCTTAATCCGGTGGCCAAGCTATTGCTGCTCAACAAGAGCAATGCAAATCCGCGAAAAATTGCCAATGTCCGGCCCATAGTTCATCAGAATTCGTCAAAATTGGCATTGGGTTCGCCCTCGATGCGTCCATTGCCCCTAACACCGTACGAACAGCAAGCAAACAACACTGCCACGGAAATGTACGCTTCGTCCTCGGCATATGCGGCCATTTATAGCGATGCCACCAACAACAGCAGCAAACAGTTGACTGCCAATCAAACAAATCCCTATTTCCATCATCCACAGTCGTCCATGATGCATTCACCATCCACAAAATCAACAGCCTCAAGTACTGGCTCCACCATATCATCATCGACAGGCTCCTCCATATCCGCAGCATCTGTCGCCACCACCGCTACCACGAACAGTGGAGGTGGTGGTAGTGGCACTCTATCATCCAAAGATGACGAAGGTAAGCTTTGTTCTTCTACAACTACAGCTATAACAAATGAATTAAAAACAACAACAACACCAACAACACCACTTCCTATTTCTCATCCTCCAACACCATCAACACTTTCACAACAACAACAACAAATAAGTATTAGCAAACCAAACCCCACAAACCATGTAAATAACACACAAATAATAATTAAACGGAAACACATAATATCCAATGGGCCGGAGATTCCTCCGGCTCCAACTAGTCTGGGTAACTTTCAAGAACCTTGTCATGCTGCTGCTCCCCATATGCCCCTTATGGGAACATTTAAAGCTAAGCAAAAGTCAAAACACAAAGAAATTGAAAGTTGTCGTGGCAGAGAAGGTGGTGATGGTGGTGATTCACTTGCATCGCCCCAGGTGGCGATGGGGAATGGGGAAAACAATAACTTGCCCATAATAAAATCAACCCCAATGTTAGCATCCCAAGCCCCACCGCCACCACCAGCTCTGCCCATACGTTCAAATTCAAATAAACCCCAAATGAATGCTACACAAAATGCATTTCCTTCTTGCCAAACAAAGGAGGAACTTGCCAAACGTAATTCTCCATACCTTTTTACCAACAACAACAACTACAATAATAATAATGACGCTGACGACAACCATAACAAAGAAAAATCGATTTCACATAACGATGACCCAAAAACGAAAATTCAAGACACGACAGAGACTACAAAGACGACGACGACAGCGACAGCAACAATGACGATGTCGATGACGACTACGAGTATTGCAAACTCGCAACAAATGACGAATGCAAGTACGCAGTTAGATCCGTCATCTTCATCATCCCCCAGTGATGAAGAGCCCCAACAACCCCCCGGCAAACATATGCCGTTAAAACGTAATAACAGCTATAGATTGGCAAACGATAACATGAAATTGGAAATGAACAAAGAAAATCAAGAGCTGCAGCAGCAGCAGCCATCGCAAATGGCGACACCAACAATGTCTTCTGCCTTGCTAAATACTTCCTCCCTGAGAACCCCCAGTCCACATCATTTCAAATCGCTACCACGCAACACAAAGAATATTAAAAATATTCTACAAAATGTTTTAGACGACAGTCACAAATCTCCATATCCACCAAATTCATCGTCGACTCCCGAGAATGGTTCAAATCCCCGGAAAATTGCCAAATCTTTTGAACGTCTCATCGATGAGTTTTCTTTATCCACAATTTCTGTGGATTCTTCGTATTTGCGTAATAAATCTCTGGAAAATTTCGATGATTCACCATCGATATTATCGGATTGTAGTCTGAAAACGACTAGCGAAAAAAATAACAACTTACCTTGCAATGACAACGATGATGATGATTCGGACTCTGATTTGGATAGCTTAATTTCACCGGCTGTACCGCAGGTAAAATATCATAAATCGTTTATCGATGCGGTACTTATGAAGCCTTTAAAGATTATATTACCTCATGATGATAATCGTCGTCAGAGAATTTTACAGAAATTCGAAGTGACGGAAATTTGGTAGGACTGAGAGTTTATATTCGTTTTACTTAAGGTGAGAATACATTAATGGCTTTTTTGACTGACTTAAAAGTGAGAATACATAAACCCCTTTTCTGGCTGGCTTCTTCGGAACAAAAGAGCGTAGGACCGAAATGGAACTAAGTCAACCTAAAACTCCTTCGTTCCGCTACGAAGAAGCCAGTTGAAAAAGCGTTTTAGGGTGGAAATACGTAAAGGGCATATTTGGCTGGCTTAAGTCATCGGCTGGCTTCATCGTAGATGATCGAAGGAGTTTAAGGTTGACTTAGTTCGAATTTGGCCCTATGCTCGTTTGTTCATTTCCGAAGAAGCTAGCCGGTGACTTAAGCCGGCGACATATGCGCTTTATGTATTCTCAACATTAAAGGTGGAAATACATAAAGTACGTATTTGGTTGGCTTAAGTCATCGGCTGTCTTCTTCGCATATGAACAAAGGAGTTTAAGGTTGACTTAGTTCGAATTTGGCCCTATGCTCTTTTGTTCATTTCCGAAGAAACCTGGCGGTGACTTAAGCCAGCGACATATGCGCTTTATGTAATCTCAACTTTAAGTCATCGGCTGGCTTGTTCGGAAAAGAACAAAGAAGCGTAGGACCAAAATCGAACTAAGTCGATCTAAAAATCCTTTGTTCCTCTACAAAGAAGCCAGCCGATGACTTAAGTCAGTCAAAAAGCCCTTTTTTGTACTCTCTTCTTTACTCTCTATTATTCTTCTTTAAATACATAACAGTTATATTCTAACAGTTAAATACAGTTATCGATAGGTAAATCCCACATTTATTCTTACCAAAAATTATTCTGAAATTTAGACCCTATGCCTAAATTGCCCAATAAATATAAAATTCACATTTCATAGTACAATTTATTAAAAAAAAATCGATTAGCTTTGTGAGAAAATCCCGTTATTACGACTCTCTTTCTGGGTTACGCGGATATTTGAAACAATAACAAGAAAATTTCTGAGTCTTATACCATGTTCGCATTGGCATTTGAACTACATTGTTTATTATTAAAACTATGTACACACGTTCATTCAAATTTAAAGGGAAATGCTTCAAAAGATATGACGTTATTAATTCCACACATTATATCACGTGTTTAATTTCGTCTCAGAATTGCAACTCCATAGCGCATAGGTAAAATAATATCCACTAGATTTATGAATACGATTTACGTGTCGTTTACTCTAAGGAATTGACATTTGAAATCGAATGGATATAGGCGTCTAAACGTGCTCCTAGGAAACTTTGTATCGGGAATAAAAACAGGTATTTCTTAATTTAAGGTCGAACAACGAATAGAGAGGAAATCATGTACCATGTGAGCTTGGAATTTATATCTAGAGCTATCGATAACTATTCTATTTTATTTTTCACACTATTTTGTACTCTCAAATATTTTTCACAAAGATTTTAATAATTTAATTCATTTCAAAGTACATTTACATACTAAATCTCTACGCGGGCTAACCGGGTTAATAAATCACAATAAATGATTATTCACAATAAATTCAATGTATGTTTTACATTGTCAAATATATTGTGATTGAACTATTATCAGGGTTAGAGATTCTGTATGTAAACTTACTTTTATGTCAATATTTCGCTTAAAATGTTACTGTATTTCAATTAGACTTTAGATATAATGTTACGCTTTCAAATTTTTACAATACTTTAAATTAATTTATGTACATTTTTGGATAAATCTAGGTAGTCGGAAACACTATTGATATTTATTGAATTAGCTTTTGTTAACTCTATTTACACAAGCCCAATATTGGAGCCAATCAATGTTTACATCAAGCCTATAGTTAAAAGTGAGAAAACATAAAACACTTATTTGACTGGCTTTAGTCATCGGCTGGCTTCTTTGGAAAAGAACAAAGGAGTGTAGGGTCAAAATCGAACTAAGTCAACCTAAAACTCTTTTGTTCCTCTACGAAGAAGCCAGCTGATGACTTAAGCCAGTCAAATAAACGTTTTATGTATTCTCACCTTAATACGAATACTCTCAACAATCTCTGGTATCTCATGTTCCTCCTTCAATATCCTATGAGTAAAAATTTCGTCAGCAAACTTATATACATTCCATGTAAAATATAATTTATCAAAGATATTGAAACACCCCCCACATTGAATATGATAACATTACTCCCCATTAAAACAATACTCCAAACTTTCCCCTTTTATAGCAACCCACAGCAAAAACCGAACATTTCAACGACAACAAAAAATCCACTTTTTTTCTTAATTGAAAAAAATCACTGGAAGTACAATCACTTTGCATAATTGACACTTCAACACATTTTTTTTCTCTATCATTAACAAAAAAAGTGTTTGAAGTACATTTCCTAAGTGGCAATATGTCATCCCCTAAAGCCGTTATGATTTTGTCATTAATTGTTGAGTATGTAAATTTTTTTTATGCATACACTTAAACACACATATTTTAATTTTTGATATTTTAAACTTGACCTTTTATCCAAAATCGAAAATTCATAGAACGACATGTATGGGGATTGATATGAAAATTTTGGTTAAATGCTTAAACTTTATATTGAGATTGGTTTGGCAGAATTTTCAAATCTTAGTACTTGATATAATTATCTGAATTAAATTTCGTTTTAATAAACCTCGTATTTTTGCGGTCATAAGTTTAGCAAGTTCATTACAATTTTGTATTTAAACTGGTTTGGTGTAAACGAATCATTAGGAAAGTTATTTTCATCAATTTCACATGTTTCCATATATTTGTCGTTAAATTTGTTAAGATAAAGCACTTCACCATGATTACGATGTAAATGTAAACAGGACCTGACAATGTGTCGAAATAAACCTCAATTATGTTTTTTCATCCGGATAGCGAAATGCCTTTTGCAAGACTTAACAATCCCTAAAATAATCCAAATCTATTCTCAATTTCTAATAAAAGTTGAATATATAGTCAAGATTACATATAATAACAAAAGGCTATAATAGCTCGTTTACATACAACATATTTATCTGGGTTAATAGTATAAATTGTGTGTGAACGCATGGTACAATTAAGAGAAGGTAGGGTAAGGTAAACAAAACAACTTGTTGCATAGATATTCAATAAATAAAAAACAAACGCGTAAAATTAATGGAAGGACAAATTTTCTTTCTTTTTTTGTGTTTTATATATCTCTAAAGATTTTTGAGAAAAATAGAAGGAAAGAAACGAAAATCATTGCGCCATGTGTAAACGTATCTTAATGTACAGGAAGTCTAAAAAATAAAGATGAGAATACATAAAACGCTTTTCTGACTGGCTTAAGTCATTGGCAGGCTTCTTCGTAAAGGGACAAAGCACAGACATAGAAGTATAAAGATAGGACAAGACAGAATCAAAATATGGCAACCCTGTAAAAATACCTCTGTTATGATATCATAACAACATAGCATGGTAGAAGAATATAGGTAGACGCGCCGACACAGCTGCT